ACATACATAGTCCTATAATATAGACACCATAAAGGATTTAGTTCCATTAAAATGATGTTGTTTGTCATTGAGGAAAAATTTGTATAGAACAGATTGTAGGTTGTGATACAGTTTTCTTGTTTTACTGCAACATATTAAAACTAAGGCTAGGTCATCATTTTTCTTACCAGTGGTTATGACCTTTCTTCCTTAGGGTAGGTACCTCATTGGTTTTTGTTTTGTTTTTGTTTGGTTTTTTTTATCACTCAGTGTTTTGACTGAACATTATGTTCAGTTCTGTACTTTGCTACCCTGTTATCCCATCATGCATGACTATGTCCTTTTTACATTACTCTTGTTTCTCCCTCTCTCTCTTCCAACAGCTGCCCCCTGACAAATGTGCTAAAAATAACAGTGGCCGTACATATACTAAGGGGTTGGGTGCATGAGGCATAGTAGATTTCTTTAGGGCAACACTGTTCTCCTAGGAAATGAGGACATGAAGAGTCAGTGGAATGGTAATGCATAACTATTTTTAGTGCATTAATAGTAATCCTGAAGTAATCGTTCTGGGTATTGCACGAGCATACACATAAATAGCATATTTGTTAAGAGCATGTTCATATCTTCAGTCTATACCTTTTTAAATAAAGGTATGTTCTATGTTAGGAATAGAGACTATTAGAGTAAATAATTTGTAGACATGAATTGAAAACTAATTCTGAAAATGTTTATTTTTGTAGTTTTTATGCAGTGGCTTCTTGCCCATTTATTATCTGAAAGCAAAGCTACTGACTCAATAGTTTGTGCTTAGACTCTCAGTGCAGTAGTCCTTTTGAGTGTCCAGTGACTTAAGAAGTCTGTTTGAGCAAATCAATAGCATTATGTAAAGACCTTACTTTATTCCATATTTCTACACTTCTGTACAATTAATGACTAAAAAGGATAGGCAGATGTGGGAAGAGTGGAGAAATTACTGAGTTCAAATACAGTCGTATTTGTTACATTTTCTAGTATATACAACACTGTTGTTGATCTTAATGGACAAATTGGGAAAGTGATAATATACAGGTGAATAGTATTAAACTAATGCACCAAGAATATATTGTAGCTTATTTAAATACTACATGAAAACCAAAACTGTCTAAAAAAAAATCTGTAGCTCATCTGTCTATGATTTCGTCATTGTTCTAAGTCAAGCCTGGGATATTTATGTCTTACTGATTTTGTATTCATTTTTCCTGAATAAATCTCTTAGCTACTTTAAAAAAAAACAAAGAAAACCATAATGTAGCATGATTGATTAGTTGACCATATGATTTCCTTTTTTTAAAAATAAAAAATAACTACTACAAATTTAAAAGCTAAGTAGAGTTATTTCTGAGTTGCTGTCAACTGCTTGTCGCCTTTGAGGAAGTTTATATGATTAGTGGAAGGAGAGTATCATTGTTCAGCTGTTGTCCTGTAGTAGAGTTTAAACTCAAGTAGTCAGTCCTTATGTAACTTTTGTAAAGCTCTATATTTGTATGTTAAAGAAGGAAATATTTAAGTCTTTAAAAACTAAATGGCGTATGTCAATGAAGGAAAGTGTGGAGAGAAATGTCTGTATAATAATAAAGTAAAACTAAATGGCTTAAGATAGGAGAAAGTAGTGGAGCTTTATTTAGATTTGACTAATTAACAGCATCCTACATTCTTCTTGGTTAGTTAGCTACTAGCTAACATCCATTAGCCTGTACACTTATCAAGACTTTTTGTAGGAATCGCAATGCCTGAGGTAGGAGCAGGATAGTTTGTTTAAGGAACAATAAGGTAGGCTAATGTCGTTAGGATGTAGTGAACTAAGGGGAGAAGGGAGAGAGATGAGATTAGAATCAGAAGGAAAGAATTTTGAAGCTCTATCTGACATACTTTGGGCATGTGGCAAGGAGGGACATCATGCTTGGGAGGATAGAGGGACATCATGCTTGGGAGGATGGAGGGACAGTGCAAGGAAGGAAGTGATAGGAGTAGATATCAGATGATGAAATTGGCTCAGGTTTGAGAGAGGTATAAACTATACTTGTAATGTTACCTGTGTAACACCTAATAAGGAAGACTAAGTAAAGATTGAGTTTGAGGGAGCGAAGAAGAAAGCACTTGGAGGTGTTTTTGTGCCATAGGGAAATTACTTGGCATAGTCTGCAGGGAGTTTGTTGCATTGCAACCAAAAGGTGGCACCTCTCAGGCACTTTATTCACCAGGGAATTTGAATGAAAGCCTTTGGAGAGTCTGCTGCGAGTCAGTTCTGACTCAAAGGCAATGGGTTTGAGGGAGTTTTTTCAAATTAAGTAAACAGAGAGAAAGAGAAAAGTGTCTGGAAAGATGAAAAGTTTAGTTGTAAAATAGTATGTGACAAAGTCCTTAAGGTTCATTAAGTGATATTTAAGACCAAATTGAAGTGTGGGAGCATATCAGTCAGGTTTCTGGAAGGGGAATGAGTGGCAAAGAGGAAGGGTAAGGAAAAGAAAGGTTGGGAAAGGGCCTGATAATGGAGAAATGGATCTAATTGGTGTAATTTTGGTGTCAGGGGGAAAAAAAATGTAAAGGCATGGTTGAAATTAAAGTGTGAGTGGAAAACCAATCCTAGAACTAAGCTTTGGGGACATCAACACAGACATTACTAGATTCTCATCATCTTCCTGATCTTGAAAGGAGAATAAGAAAGAACAGGGAGAGTGTGTTTCAGGAAGAAAATTTTGTTGGTAAGCGGAGGGAGCCTGGCTATGAATTGAGTATTTGATCTGTGGGTATGGTGAGGACAAAAGTCTAATTAGAATGAATTCATGAAAACAAAGGTAGATTTAGTGTGTTTCTTCGGTAGTGGTGGTGAATAGTGGCCATTTTTTTTTCCTTCCTCCTAGAGAAACAATAGTTGGAGAAGGATATATTTAAGCCAGGGATTTTGATTTGTTTAGATTTTTCCAACTCGAGAATTCCCTTAACTCTTATATGCCCTTTCTCTTGCCAACAACTTAGTTCCAAAACCATTAGGGGAGGCACATCAAAGTAGACATGTGTGCAGGGGAAGGAATGGTGAAGAAATTGAAAATTCATTGCATATAGATCTTGGACAGTGACAGTGAAGTTTCTTAGTATTGTAGAGGGAGAGTACAAAACTTGGAATAACTCCTGTAAGCCTGTATAGGTGGATTAGAATTAAACTGTTGATGAGTGCTTATAGTTCTTTGTGTTATATCTATTTTGTAACATATATATACACACACACATAAATGCATGTATGTATATATTTGTATATTGAGTGCATTTATTTGTAATATATGGTTGCTAATTGCCTACGAGTTGAGCACGACTCACATGTATCAAAGTTCATAGTTTCCAGAGGCATGTCATTTAGGAAGTGGTTGCCACTCCTGCTTCCAAATTTGTAGTATACACAGTATAAACATATATACTGAAACCGCATTGAGAGTCTTTAGGGGGTGCACGCACATACCTGTAATTTATAGCCTATAGACATATATGAATATTCCTGAGTTCTGGTTACTCTGAGAACTTGAAAGCAATGGTGTGCTAGCATTGAGCACAATTGTAGGCTGCTACTGCTGCCGTTAGCGGTCATCAAGTAAATTCCAACTCATAATGAACCTGTGTAGAACTGTCCATAAGGTTTTCAAGGCTGTGACTGATGGTCAGTTCTTTTTTTTTTTAGTGGTGCTTCTGGGTGGATTTGAACTCCCAAACTTTCAGCTAGTAATTGAGCACTTAACTATTTGTGTTCCGCCTTTGGTTTCTGTATCTCATTCTTTAATGAAAAGAATATCATGTGGAAAAAAGACTGACTTTAGCACCAGGATAGAATACAATATGAGCCTGGAACATCTTGTTGTGCCAGAAAGCAAGGAAGTACTCAAAGAATGTTGGAGACGGGTCAAAAGGGCATAGTGCCAGCTTGCAAGGTTTCCTTTGCTCAGTAATGATAGTAACAGATTATAACCCATCGAATAAAACAGAAAACCATGCATCCATACAGATATAAATGAATATGCTAAAAATACCTTGAGGAGTGAGGATATATTTACATACTTCGAAATTATTTCTTCACAAAGTTGTTTGTTGTTATCTGCCTCCCTTTACCCTCTGGCAGGTTTTCAGAGGTTTTCCTGGTAGCCTACTGGCCAGAAGCTGTGTTTCAATTCCAGGGGTCTTTGGTTTCAGGCCACTAAGTCACTGCGGGAGAAGGATGGGCAATCTCCTCATATGCTATTAACTGCCTCTGAAAAACTGCTGACAAATCAGCTCTAGGTCAGTTCCAACTCTGATATACAATAATCACCACCAACCATTTAGAATTGACTGATAGTTGACCCTACAGTAGGTTTTCAAAGGCAATATAATCACATGAGATTTCCCATCTTTCTCCCATGGAGCAGCTGGTAGACTTGAACTGTGTCATCAGAGCTCACTTCCTCACAAAGTATTTAATGATTCATTAAATGCAAAGAAAAGTAAACTTATAGAGGAGATGTTACCCTACTACTAATTCAAAAGAACATTGTCAGTAATTATAGGAAAAAAGAAAACCTGGCAGGTTGTTGTGAAAAGAATGTAGTACCTCTTTTGTTGAAGTTTTTCTGCCAAAGATGTGTAATCTGAATCTAATCCTGAGAAAATAGCCAACAAATCCAAAGTGAAGGCTATTTTATAAATTAACTGGCCTGTTATCTCTAACAGTGTCAGTGCTATGAAAGGCAAGTTAAGTTGGAGGTGCTGTTAGAAAATGAACAAAGGCATGGTAGCTAATTCAGTGGATGATTCCAAACCAAATCTTTGCTGTGCAGGGCTTTATTGAGACAGCTGACCAAATTTGAGTGGATTTGAGGATTAAATGCTATACTTTGAACTTGCTGTAAGGTTTTGATTATTTGACATTTGAAAATGGTTATTTTTCAACATGTTTAAATGCCTAGAGGGAAAAGCATGAAGTGAGGATAAATACTGGTCAAGACGAGTGAACAATAATACTGCAGCTCTGAGTGGGAGGATGGACCACTCAGCTGGTGTAATAGTAGAGAGGAGAAGATTGATTCAAAGGCTGAAAGGCTGAATGATTTAACAGGGTGAAGATGGAGATACTCTTTTTTTAAAAAAAAAATACTGGTCAAAGTAAGTAAGGCAAAAAGATTGTTATAGGATCCTTTCTTATCATCCACAGAGGTTATTGATTACTCTTAAACCTGAACCTGCCTGGTTTTGTAATGAAATATTGTACTGGCAGGTGTTTGTTAGGTGATAATACTGAATGCATATTCAGTATTGGTTTACATACAGAGTTCATAAATTTCATATATATTTTTCACACTGGGCCTTTCCCCTTTCCTTTACAAATCTCTTCCTCCATCTGTCAAATTGTGGGACCCTATGTTTAAGCCTCCCCACTTTCTTGGATCCTCATACACACTCTACAATAATGGTCTTACATAGTATTTGTCTTTATGAGACTGAGTTAGTTCACTTAGCATAATTCTCTCCAGTCCCTCCCATGTTAAGTAGTAATTTACAAAATCATTGCTTCTGCGTGCTGCATAATATTCCATTGTGTGAATGTACCATAATTTCTCAATTTGATATCTTCTATTTCCTTAATGAAACAGTAAAGCCAGTAAACAGTTACGAAGAAGAGGAAGAGATGTCAGTCTTGAGAAAGGAAAAGGTTGAGTAGTGACTAATTGTAACAAAATTCAGAGATCATTGATGGATGTTTTGTTTGTATTTAGCTGTTTGTTCTTAATTTGGAGGTTCAACAACAAATCTTATTTTTCCAGCTTAAAGTAGGCTTGCTTTCAAGGAAGTCTTGTGTATTTTTGAAAAATGTTACGTTTGAATCATTAATACAAGGAGACAACAGGAGGAACTCAGAAATGAATGTTTGATTAAGCTTCATAGCTGTGGGCAGGAGGATCTTTGAATCTAGAAGCACTTGATGGTAGGTTGGGGATGACAATGGTTTGTAGTATTAGAAAGTTTAAGTTTAAAAATATCTCATTGCTAAAATATAGTTTGTCATCTTTCCCTTTTGTATAGAAAGAGGCTTTTAATAATGGAAAATTTTCCAATTGTTAAATATTGCAATAAAATTAAGTAAGGCAAAAAGATTGTTATAGGATCCTTTCTTATCATCCACAGAGGTTATTGATTACTCTTAAACCTGAACCTGCCTGGTTTTGTAATGAAATATTGTACTGGCAGGTGTTTGTTAGGTGATAATACTGAATGCATATTCAGTCCTCTGTGACTCTTGGACCTTGTAGTATGACACGCATTTTCAGCTCTCTGCTATCTTCTAGGCTGGTGAGATTGGAGAAATGAAGGATGGAGTCCCAGAGGGAGCCCAACTTCAGGGACCAGTTCATAGAAACCCAACTTACCGCCCAAGATACCGTAGGTATGTAACATATTCCATTAGCTAAGGACCACTTGGAGCTCTGATACAGTCCGTACCTGCTGCGTTGTGTGTCTTGGCTGCAAGAAGGCTTGACTTACGCAGTTTGAATTGACTGGGTAAAAAAAGATGGCGAAGTCCTCCAGTGAATGGCCTCAGAATCCTGATGGAGGGTGATTGAGTCAGAATTGATTTAATGTTAGTTAACTAATTGGAGGACCAATTAGTTAAAGGGTCTGTGAGTGAAAATAAATGTAAGAATATTGTGGGTCTGTTTTATGAATTTAATTTGTAATTACAAGATGTGACTGCATTTCCTCCATGTCAAGAGTGTTCTGTGATTTCCCTCAGCTTAACAACTAGGATTTTTAGTTCTCTTCCAAAGGGCTAATTTTATTGTACAACTTTGATGTGATAAGAATTAAGCCTTAACACTTTCAAATTGAATGACATACATGGAGCTTAATTGTTGGGGAATCCAAAAGTAGTTGGACAAATTGAGGAAGAGCTGAGTGCTAAGAGTATTTGATATCAGATATTCTGATAATTGAGGCACCCTAATGTAAGTAAATCAACTAAATTACCTAAGTTTAAATTTCTTCTCTATAATTTAATGTATGTCCACGGGAAAGGTTGTAGACGTTTAGCCTTAGTTGCCGAACTTACAAAATGGATAATGAATATTAAGACATTGCATACAATTGTTGTAGCTTTAAATGGTGATGGGCATCTAAGATAAATTAGTGTAGTGCCTGATCTAAAAGCCCTTAGTAGATACTGTTGTTAGATGCCATCATGCTAAATATGACTCATGGTAACCCAATGAACAGACCTGAACACTGTCCTATCTTGTGCCATCCTTAGTGTCTCTGATACATTTAAGTCCATTGACTGTCCCTCTCCTTGAAGGTCACCCTCTATGTCTCTTGCAAAGTAGTAGCCCCTCCTAACAATATGTTCACAGTATGTGAGACAGAGCTTCACTATTCTTGCCTCAGAGGAGTAATCACTGCACTTTGTCCAAGACATATCTATTCTTTTGGCTGTTATTATTATTAATGGTGGTTTGCAGCTGTTTCTCCTCATTTTTTAGTGACTTCCTATCTGGGATGTACTTCTAGTAATATAACTACCTATGTTTCTCTACTGTTTATAGGGTTTTTGAAGGCCTGTTCAAAAGTGGATGGTCAGTCATGCTTCCCACAATAGATATTAGTTATTGTCATTACTAATGATAGTAATACCAGTAAAAAAGTTATCTTACTGCATAAATTCCCTATAAAGACTGAAAATTGAGCAAAGATTCCCTAAGATTTTTACTACACTTTTATGCTTCTTTGTCTTTTATCTTTGAGTAGAACACTTTTCCTTGATTAATGTTTTTATTATCTTGACATTTGTCAATAGTTTGTTGAAAGGAGTGTATAATATGTTGATTAAAAAGTTCCATAGGCATCCACTTCTTTTTCGCATAATAGTGCCATTTTAGACTTAATCTCTCTAGTGACTGATTGCTAAGAACTTATTTTGTAGAACTGTTTCTAAAAGAATATTTCTTAGAATTGTTTGAGGCAGAAAAGAACAGCACTCTGTGTCCTCCTAGGCCTGTCAGTCTGTCTGTGCGATCTTAGGAAACTTGATAAATTGCATCTGGACTTTGTTGACTTTAAAAAGCAGTTACTTATGTTTTGGGGGTTTATTTTATATTGGTTTGCATGTAAAATTCATATGCTTTGTATTTCACACTAGCCTTCATTCACATTGTGTTTTAAACCATCATTCCCATTCATTGAATTTTATAAAATTAGTCACTATTAGACTGTGCCTACCATCAAATATTTGCCCTCTGTCAATCTCTTGGTCTCCTCTTTATAAACCTAACTTACAAAATTGTTATTGATTAAATTACTTAACATAGACCTGATACTTAGTAGAAAGTATTTTCCTTCTGTGTTTCCTCCCTTTAGTTCCCACTGAGTTTGTCACAGAGAGCAGATAGACTTTTTTTTTTTTTTTCATTTTCCTCCCTTATCTTTATATATTAAAGTGTCTTATAGGAACATAGTACGTCTGCAACATGTGTTTGTTTACTGCAAATACTTATTCAAATGAAGGGGGAAATGAAGTGGTTCTTCACTAACCACTCTGTTGGCCTGTGAAAAATTGCACCAATAAGGTTTGATCCTTGTGCTTGAACAGTAAGTAGACTATTCTGTATTTGATTACCTCTTTGTGGTTGCACTTGTTCTCCTGTTTTGTGTTCTGTGATGTAGGGGACCTCCTCGCCCACGACCTCCCCCAGCTGTCGGAGAGGCTGAAGATAAAGAAAATCAACAAGCAGCCAGTGGTCCAAACCAACCAGCTGCTCGCCGTGGATACAGGCGTCCATACAACTTCCGCCGCCGTCCCCGTCCTCCTAATACTCCTGCACAAGATGGCAAAGAGGTAAGGCTGCGAGTCTTAGTGTAAGTGGAATGCCACATCCTTCTTCCACAAAGCGTCAGGTAGATTAGAACCTCTAAACCTACTAGTTAGCAGCTGAGCACTTAACCATGGTGCTGCCAGTTCTTCTAAACATAGGTAATATGCCAGATCATCCCCATATTGCCAAACCTTAGTAGTCTTGAATAATTCTAAAATAGAGTAAGTTGATAGTTTCAGAGGAAAAGCTTAAGATCAACATTTTCATTCATGCATCATTCCCTGGGTAGAACACATACCAAATAATTGAATTTAGCTGGACTGTTGAGGACTGAGCTGAAACTTTCAGTATTTAGGTAATTGTGTTTATAGAGGGATAACCTGCCTCTAAGCATGTGTTGAAAGTGATTGAACATAGACATTTTCATTAATAGGCAATGTATTATTTCATTACCATTTGTAAAGTGTTCTTACATGACATGAGTTTTCACTCAGACGTGAGAGAGTAGTTACAATTTTACATCATAATTTGCTTTCACAGGTAGTAGTAGTACAGTTCAAGCTTTTGAGACCTTTTCATCCTGTACTTCCCATCACTCTGAAAGAATTAATTTCAGGTTTGTGATTTTGTTTTGAATTGTAGACCAAAGCAGGTGAAGCACCAACTGAGAACCCTGCTCCAGCCACTGAGCAGAGCAGTGCTGAGTAACACCTGGCTCCCAGGCACCTTCACCATCTGCAGGTTTGCGCTCAAATTTTAAATATTACTGATTTCAAGCAATAGTACTTTCTGTGGTTCAGATGTGTAAACTAGTCTTTTCTTTGGGGGCGGGGGAATAAAAGCATTTAGACTTAGTTATTGTGGTGGTATTAATGTTAGGTGCCATGGAGTCAAGTACAACCCATAGTAACCCTATGAACAACAGATCTGAACCCTGGCCTATCCTGTCCCATCCTCACACTTCCTCACACTTCCTGACACATTAGAGCCCATTGAGATAGTCAGTGTGTCACTTCATCTGGTTGAGGGTCTTTGCTCCTTCTCTGACCCTTTGCCTTTCCAAGCATGATGTCCTTCTCCAAGGAACAGCCTCTCTTAGCAACATGCCTGAAGTATGTAAAGTGAAGCTTTATCACCTTTGCCTCCTGGGAACACTCTGGCTGCACTTTGTTTGAGACATACTTGTTTATTCTTTTGGCAGGCCATGGAATGGATGGATGTTCAATACTCTTCTCCAAAAACACAACTCATAGGTGTCAGTTCTTCTGTCATCCTTATTTATATTGTTCATCTCTCAAATTCATAGCAAGTGTTTAAAAATACCTGAATCAAACACACCGAAGTCCTCAAACTGACATCATTGCTTAAATAATTTGGAGGGGTCCCTGACTTCAGACTTTCCCCAATGAAATACATTTGCTGATTTTGTGGCTGCTGGCACTAAGAGGGTTACTTGTGGATGAAGTTGTTGATAGTTTCAAACTTTTCTCCATCAATCATAAGAATTTATTTTTTCTTGAGGTTAAGCTACAATCCATATTGAAAGCTGTATTCTTTGATCTTCTGCAATAAGTGCTTCAAGTCTTCCTCATTTTCAGTGAGCATGGTTGTGTCATCTGCGTAATACAGGTTTCTGATGAGTCTCCAATCTTGATGCCACATTCTTTGTAGATTACAGCTTCTTGAATAATATGCTCAGCATACAGATTGAATAGATACGGAGTTAATTTTAAACCATTTAGTATTCCCTTTAAAATTCAATTACTATATTTTGGAGGAACATTCTTTTGTGCGGTACAGCACTCTTCTGTCATTATGCTGTACTAAGGTAACCTGGTATTGCTGTGATGCTGAACCTTGTGCTGTTGAGGTGTCATAAGCCATATTGGTTAACCATGGTGGACAGTGTTTGGTGGAGCTCCCAGTTTAAGACAGGTTTGGAAGCAGGAGTGGCATCCACTTCCTAAACAACATGCTTCTGGAAACTCTGAATTTTGATAAATGACGATATAGAAAGGCCTCCGGCCTTTTGTTCATAGAGTCACTATGAGTTGACAGCAATCCATAACTGTTCCTTTGCTCTGTTCGCACAACAGTATTAGTCTAGATATAGGTTTTGCATGAGCACAATCAAGTGCTCAGAAATTCCCATTCTTGTCAGTATTAACCATAACTTGTTATGATCCAAATAATGAAATGCTTTTGTGTAGTCAATAAAACATAAAACAAACCCATTTTTCTGGTATTCTTTACTTTAATCTAAGATCCATTTGGCATCAATAATAACTCTCGTGCCATGGCTTCTTGTAAATCCTGGTTAAACATCTGGCATTTCCCTATCAATGTACTGTTCTGTCCATTTTTGAATGATCTTTAGCAGTATTAGACAATGTATTGGTAGTCAGCTTCTCTTTTCTAGACTGAAATTTTTCCATTAGCACCTCTTAAGAAAACTGACAATCAGCATTTCTCAAAAACGCAAAATTAAGCTTCAAGTTGTAATACTGAGAGGTGCTATGGGGAAAATCTTAAATGATTCAGAAACTAACAAAAGAATGTGGAAGGAATACATAGACTAACTGTACAGAAAAGAGTTTGTCTACACTGAACTATTTGAGGAAATAGCATATGATAGAGAGCAAGTGGTGATGTAAGGGAGACGTTCAGGCTGCATTGAAGGCATTGGCAAAAAAATAAGGCCCCAGGAATCAGTAAGATACCAAATAACATTAAAAAAACAAACATGCAGCCCAGGAGATGCCTACCAGTCTCTGCTGAGCAATTTGGAAGATAACTACCTAGCCAACTGACTGAAAGAGAGCCATATTTATTCCTATTCTCAAGATAGGGAATCCAACAGAATGTGGAAGTTATTGAACACGTGCAAGAGAAATTTTGTTAAAGATCATCCAAAAACTAGTAGAATAGTAAGAGAACTGGATTTAGAAGACAGAACTTTTAGCTAGGCTTAGAAGAGGCTATGGCATCAGGGATATTAATTGCTGATGTCAGGTGGATCTTGGCTGAAAAGCAAAGACTATCAGAAGAATGTTTGCATTTTATTGACTGTGCAGAAGCATTTGTTTGTGTGAATCATAATAATATATGACTAACTTTGAGAAGAATAGGAAGCCCAAAACACACTTAGGCTTATATGAAATCTGTCAAAGCGCAACATTAAGAAAACAGATTCTCACCACTGGGCCAAATGGCAACATCATGTTAGATGGAGAAAAGATTGTGATTGTTCACCATTTCATTTTGCTTGGTTCCACAATGAACTCTTGACACCCACGGTCAAGAAACTAAAAGATTGATTAAATTATGAAAATCAGCTGTTAGAGACAGAGACTATCAGTCTAGAGACAAAGATGCACCTGATTCAGTCCATGGTCTTTGCATTTACCTGTTATGCATTAGAGAGCTGGAAAATGACCCAAGAGGAAAAAAAAATGATACCTTTAATTATGGTGCTGGAGAAGAGTATTGAAAATACCGTGTACTGCCAAGAAAACAAACAGGTTTATCCTGTTTTGGAGAAGCCAAGCTGTTCCTTGGAGACAAATATATTGAGGCTCCATCTCCCATACTTTGGGCATATTTCCAGGTGGGACCAGTCCTTGGAGAGGGACATCATGGTTGGAAGGGTGGAGGCACAGTGCAAGAAAGGAAGACCCCAGAAGAAATGAATTAACACAGTAGTTGGGGTAATGAGGGTAGTTGTGTTAGACAATGAGATTGGCCCAGGGTTCAGAGCTATTGTGCATAGGATCGCTCAGAGTCATGGTCTACCCAAAGATACATAACAACATACCTAGACCAAGAAACTTGTGAGAATGGGGCAAGAAAACACTGCCTGGTTTAAAGCTGAGAATGATGTGTGTCAAGGCTGTATCCTTTCTTTATGAAGAATGAGGCATCAGGTTTGGAGAAAGGCTTATTAACAACTTATATTATGCAGATGATGAAGTAGTGCTTGCTGAAAGTGAAAAGGGCCTAAAGCACTTGCTGCAGAGGATTAGACTGCACACTTCAATGTGGATTACAGCTCAACATCAAGAAAATAAAAGGCCTCACCACTGGGCCAGTAGGCAGCATTACCTTGACACCAGCATTCAGGAGACCTGAGACTTAAGTATTGGGAAAGTCAGCTGTCAGGGACCTCTCAAATCTTGGAGAGCAAAGACAGCAGTTTAAAAACTAAAGTGTGCTTGATTCAAGCCATAGTCTTTCCAGTGACCCTCTATGTATCTGGGAGCTGGACGATGAATAAGAATGACAGAAGAAAAATTGATGCAAAAGAGAACAGATATATCTTAGAAAAAGTGCAGCCAGATTGTTGAGACAAAGATGATGAAGCTTTGTCTCACTGTCTTTGGAAAGGGACATCATGCTTAGAAAGGTGGAAGGTCAGCAAAGGAGGGGAAGACCTTCAGTGAGATGTTATTGATACAGTATCTTGCAACAATGAGCTCACTTATATAAGAGATGAAAAAGATGGTACAGGATAGGACAGACTTCACATCTGTTCATAAAGTCACTGTGAATCATACTCAGCTCAATGCCACTTACCAATAACATTGACCAACCTAATTAATTGGAAAACCATTGCCATTGAGTCAGTAGAATGACCAACCTAATTAATTGGAAAACCATTGCCATTGAGTCTGTAGAATGGTAGAACTGCCCTATGGGGGTCCCAGTCTTTACAAGAGCAGATTTCCACATCTTTTTCATAACCTATCAGCCACTCAGCTTTCATAAAAATTTACAGCTATAAACTCTAAGTGTTATTCCATTTGCCTTAGAGAATTGCTGAATTGGAATCATCTTGAGTGCAGTGGTTAATTAAGAGTTAATGTTGTATTAATATTTTTGTTTAGAGCTTATGATAAATTAATTCCTTTTAGAATACTTTTTTTTTTAATTTTGTGAAAAAAATGGATAATTTTTGCCTTTTTCATTCCCTTTGTCATTTTATCACTCAACATTTGGCTTTTTTTCTTTTCAGGTGACCTAAAGAAAAATGACCATCTAAGAATACAACAAAGAAGACAGACAGTGAAAGTTTTTAAAACACCATGACCATAGCAACACCAAAGAAACAACCAAGCCATAATGTGGAAGGATAATCAAGATTTGGACGTTAGAATGTATGTTATGCTTTAAGAAAAACAAACAACATCTGCAAAGGGAAAATGCCCAGCAAACAGACCCCAGGAATACCTGCACAGAAGACGAGAGAGCAGCAGCCTCCCCAGTTTCAGCAACCACTAGGTATATATATATATAATTTTTTCCTGGTTTTTACTCTTTTGATAATTTGAATTGAAAAAGAAAATATTATCACATGGGGAAGAACCCAACCAAAGAAATCTGAAATATATAGTAAATGCTTTTTTTTCCTTATTTGTTCATTTTGGATGCTGGTGCTAAACTTCCATGTGTTGTGATTTAAAAAGAAATTTTATGCCCTTATTTATTTCTAGATGAGGGGAGGGGTAACATTTTTGCTTTCTTATGTCACTCTGTTTGAAAATGTGCAGTATGAATGATGTTCCTCAAAAATAAAAATTTTTACCTTCAATGGAAACAGTGTAGAGTACAATTTTTTTTACTTTAGTGTGTTCTTTATCTTTTTTCCCTCTTTCATGTACTTGAATAAATGAAGATCCAAATGTAAAAGTAGGCTAGTGCCTTTTAGTACA